GAGAAGATCAAATTAAACCAATGGTTCCACCACTGGATTGAAGAATAGATTCTCATCTTATGTGTAATTCAGTGACAAACTGCAATGCAAGTTTGTATTTTTTCTCCAAGTAGGTGACTTTGGCAATTTGCTTTTCTATAAATATCCTTTCATTATTTACTTATTCCAATGTAAGAAAAAAGTCAGAGTTTTTCAATATTTTGAGATTTCTGAGGGATAGAAACATGAGTACACTCTATGGTTGGGTGACTCAACCTACAAAAAATAATATTAAATTAAATTATAAAATAAAATAAGATAAATTATGGCTGACATGGAAACTGGAAGAGCATCCACATATACCTAAGATGCCATGTCCTCTGAAAGAACGAGGCATGGGATTACAACATTTTTACATGCTGAGGTTGGAGCAAGTACTAAATATACAGGTGCTGGAAAAAGACTAGTCTCTACTAGAAGCCAGGGAAGAATCTTAATGATCCCCAGGTTGGTGTGGAAGGGAGGGAAAGATCTAGTAAATTCTCTTAGAGTGACGACTATACCTAGCCCCTTGCAATATATAACCCTTGGAGAGTCTGAGGGTCCCATTGACTCCAGAAGCATTGCCTGAGGGGAGATGCACTGTTGGGTGGACAGCCTTTCTCCATTTAACCTGAAAACATAAAGGCCTTCCCACATGTCAAAGAGAGGTCCAAGATAACTACTACTCAATTGTGTAAGAAATCCCATCGGCTCTTAGTCCCTCACTGCCCAAGAGAAAGAAAACAGCACGATGTGCACAGATATGAGGGAGTTCTATAAGAAAGCAAGCAATTAATGAAACAGCTTTTTGTAGGAGGGAGATGAGGCAAATAACTAGAACAGGTGGATACTATGGATGCAAACCCATGTCAGAAAATGTTAATAAAAGTGCCATGGAAAAGGAGTCAAGAACATAAATGGGGAAAAGCCAGTCTCTTCAATAAACAGTGTTGGGAGAACTGGACAGCCACATGCAAAAGAATGAAACTGGACCACTGCCTTACGCCATACACAAAAATCAACTCAAAACGGATGAAAGACTTGAACACAAGACCTGAAACCATAAAACTCCTAGAAGAAAACATAGTTGGTAAGCTCCTTGGCATTGGTCTTGGTGATGATTTTTTGGATCTGACACCAAAAGCAAAGGCAAAAAAAGCAAAAGTAAACAAATGGGACTACACCAAACTAAAAAGCTTCTGTACAGCAAAGGAAATTATCAACAAAATGAAAAAGGCAACCTACTGAATGGGAGAAATTATTTGTAAATTATAAATCTTAAAAAGGGTTAATATCCAAAACATATAAAGAACTCATACAACTCAACAACAAAACAAAACAAACAATCCAATTAAAAAATGGGCAGAAATGTGAATAGGCATTTTTACAAAGAAGACATACAGACGGTCAACAGGGACATGAAAAGATCCTCAACATCCTTAATCAACAGGGAAATGAAAACCAAAACCACAAGTGATTTCACCTTTCACCTGTTAGAATGGCTATTATCAAAGAGACAAGAAGTAACAAGTGCTGGCAAGGATGTGGAAAAAAGGGAACCCTTGTGTACTGTTGGTGGAGCCACTAAGGAAAACAGTATGAAGGTTCCTCAAAAAATTAAAAATAGAATTACCATATGATACAGCAATTGCACTTCTTGGTATTTATCTGAAGAAAATGAAAATACTAATTCAAAAAGATATATGCACCCACATTTTTTTTGCAGTATTATGTACACTAGCCAAGATATGGACACAATCTAAGCGTCCATCAACAAACGAACAGATGAACAAATTGTGGTATATATACCCATACAATGCATTATTATACAGCTATAAAAAAGTAGGAAATCTTGCCATGTCTGACAACATGGATGGACCTTGAGGACATTATGCTAAGTGAAATAAGTCAGACAGAGAAAGGCAAATGCTGTATGATCTCACTTAAATGTGGAATCTAAAAACAAAAAACACAAGCTCTTAGATACAGATAACAGATTGGCGGTAGCCAGAGGTGGAGGATGAAAGGTGGGCAAAACGCATGAAGAGGATCAAAAGGTACAAACTTCCAGTTATAAAATAAACAAGTCATGGGGATATAATGTACAACATGGCAACTAGTTAATAATACTGTATTACATATTTGAAAGGTGCTAAGAGAGTAGATATTAAAAGTTCTCATCACAAGAAAAAAAATTTTAACTATGTATGGTGACAGATGTTAACTAGACTTGTCACGGTGATTATTTCACAAATATACAAATATCAAATCATTATCTTGTACACCTGAAAATAATATAATGTTATATGTCAGTTATACCTCAACAAAAAAAAATGCCATGGCAACTCTTAGACAGAGGTAATGACAAACAAGAATTTCTAGGACTAAAAACTTGACTTCTGAATAAAAAATTGTTAGTAGTGAAATTTCTAAAAAAAATTGCTTTAGGAGAACAAATGTAGAAAGAAACTATCTCAAAATAAAGAACAGAAAGAGAAAAAGAGAAAAAGAAAGGGAGAAGACAAAGAAGACAGAAGTTGGAGCCCTAATATGCAAATATGTGTCAAAAAGAAAAAAAGTGAGGGATGGAGAAAATTTTCCACTAATTACACATAAGAAAGACTAGAATCTTCATTTCAAAAGGCTCATAAAATCCAAACAAAATTAATAAAAAGATACACTTCTAGACATATCTTGCTGAGATTTCTGAGCTCTTAAAAATAAAAGTTAAAATTCTATGTTTCTGAGAGAAAGAAGAGAATACTAACTGAGAATAAAGAATGGTACTAACATCAGTCCTTATCTGGAATACTAGAAGTGACAAGATGTTGGAATAATGTTCTTAAGGTATTAAGGGGAAAAGACATATAATTAAATAATTCTAGATCAAGTCAAAATATGTATATGTGAGGACTTTTTCAGACATGCATAGATTGAGAAATTATGTTATTAATTTACCTAAGGAAATTATTTTAGAATCTGCCTAAAACTAAGACTTAAAGGAGAACAGGTGTAAATAATAAATCTCATACAATTTTAAATTAAGTCCTAATGTGTAATAATAATGACAGATACTGGGAGTTGGCACATAAGGAGAGGTACAGAATATTTGAAAAAGAAAAGATATATAATATATAAATATGTAACAAAAGTTGGGAGGTAAAACTCTAATCTACACTAAAAGCAGAAAATACATTCTGCTTATATGTCCACTTAGAAAATGTGATCAGTACAGAAGTGAGAGAAATTCTTAATAAGACACTCAAAAAAATTTTTATAACCCCATTCTGTCTCCACGATCCAAGAAAATTAGAAATCCAAATATAAAAAGGCCAAAAACAACTTGGCCATTTGAATATTAAGATATTTACTTCAAAATAACCTCTGGAAGCTACTATGCTCCTCTGCAGCCCTGGGGTGCACTGCAATTAAGCAGAATGACAACAATGCTTCCGCTGAGAACTATTGTTTTAAAAGTGACCACGGGGTGAAGAATCCACAGATCTTAAGATATTTCTATTTGAAACTAACTTAACAGCACCATTGTAGAAGAAGTCTTCCATAAACCTAGCAGACAAGCCAACGTTCAGTTTTCTAAAGCAAGAACCAACTTAGAGAATTTTCCTTGCTTTTGACAATAATCTGACAGCATTTAACACTCTGTTTAGAGGTTGCTGCAGAAACTCACTTTCTTCTGTTACTAAGGCTCAAAAAGGGAATTCACATTTATCTATCCGCCAAACAGAAAGATGAAGTGGGTAACTAAGTACACAGAGAACTGTAAATCTATGTAATTTGCTATTTAGGTTATATCAGCTGAGTCAAATTCTAATTCAAATTCTGAACACACCAAACTTTAGTTAGTTTCCAGAAGCATCGGTGCCTTCCTGCTTCCTGAACTAATAACGACAAAGCACATTCTCATGTAAAAATAGAGTATTTCGACAGTGACTCTTTCTTTGTACTTCTGATGGTGCTAAGGTAAAAGGCAGCGTTGTATAGTAGATAGCATATGGGTATGAGAGTTAAAAGATCTGGGTTCCAGTCTTGGCTCTACCATTTACTAGCCATGTGAACTTCTCTGGGTTCACTCATCGACAAAAGTGGGATAACAGTATTTGACTTACTTGTCTTAAAGGGTTGGGATGCAGAGTAACTACAGAGTCCCTACAATGGCCTACCAAGCTGCCCTGGAGCTCGCCTTCCCTCAGCTTCTCTGACCTTATTTCCAGCCATATTTCCCCTCCCTTCCTCTGCTGCATCCACACTGGCTTCCTTGCTGCTCCTTGACTATTCCAACGCAAGGTCTCTGCCTTGACCATTCCCTCTGCCTAGAACGCTCTGCCCCTGACAGCTTCAGACTCACTCTCTCACTCCCTTACTTCCTTCAGGTCTCTGCTCAAATGTCACCTGAATCTCTACTTTTTATGAACTAATGTGAAATTATGTAAATGTTATTTTTTATGACATTAAATATACTTTCAGACACATAACATAATAATTTAGAATAGTATGGTCAGTTACCCCTTTAACATCTCTGCTATATTGTTTGCCTGTCTTAATTATCCTAATGTTCAAATATTCAAAAGGTACTAACTTTGCACAATGTTTCTTTGAAAAAATTGTGTACGTACTTCCTTTTGAAATGGAATTGTTTCTCCACTAGAAGCAACGTGTACAATTTCAGGACTTTAATATGTTGCGAGCTAAGTGGGTCAAGAGCACAGTTACTGGCTTTGATAAAACAGTTTTCAAATTGGTCCTGGGTTTTTGTAGTTGTGATTGTGTCTGTGTCCCCTACTGAAATAGAGTGTGGTAGAAAACAGACATCAGCTCTCATCCATTTCCTTTTTCTCTAATACTCTGTACATAGCAGACACTCCGAAATTATCTGATTAATTTATTGAATACAGGCATTCATGCAATGATAATTATCCCCACCTTTTTAAAAAGGCAATAAAACTAGGAAGATTACTTACACTTAGAGCCTGACGAAGAAGACCCGCTGACAGTAGATCTTGATCCCCCTTTCATGGAAAAGACCCCTTTGCCCCTGCGAGTCGTGGTTACAGCCACTCTGGGACGCTTCAGCGGAATGACGGCGCGGGGAGGTGGAGGCACGCGCCCGTGGTAGTCAAATAACCTTCGCAAAACACAAATGCGGCTGAGAGTTGGTTTGTGCCCAAGTGCTCTACCAAATTCGTGAAATGATTAAAACAGTGGCCTTGTAAACAATGTCAATAAACGTTTTTATTTTCATTGTTATTCTCACACAGGTATTTATTAGAAGATTCATTTTTCACTAAAGAAATAGGATGCTAATATAGTCTATGCTTTCCAGACATTAGGATCTGACTCTCCAGTGTGAACTAATTTTTAAACTATGAAAGGACAAGGAGCTTTGCTCCAATAGTACCATGCAATTTGTTGAAATTATTCTGACCTTTGTTCCCAAGTATATTTCTTTGCTTGGTTTGACAGATTTACCCTTCTTAGGAACAGAAATCTTCCTCTTACACATCAGACACTTATTGGCTCGCTAGTTTGAAGAGGAAAATTTCATGCAGAATAACGAACAAAGCAAAGAAAATTATTGTCCAATCAGAAAACAGCTCAGAAGGAAAAAACAGCTACAAGAGAGAAATCACTATGGTGCTATATCTCTCTCTAAGGGCTTTTTAAGTACTGAAAGTTTCCTCTGACTGTAGAAAAGAGCAGACTGAGTTTGAATGAAATGGTGCTGGCATGAGGACAATGTTTGTTGCCTGAAGTGCTGGTGGGAAATATTTATCAAGATATTTTTCTATTGTTAAGACAATTTGCTAGATGTGCAAATTGAGAGTAGAAATATTTGTAGAGTCAGCTATTGAAAATTTCTGTAACAAAAAAGAAGACCAATAAAACTCAGAAGTTTTTGCTAAAATGTAAAAAATGATATTTACCACAATCATGCATTTCCATTAAACAAAGAAAGGAATAAAAGCATAAGAGTATTTACTCATTTATATAAACATGTAATTCATAGATTCAAAAGCTTCATATTATTTATACTGCATATATAAAGACAACAAGTATTTGTGTGACTTAGCACATTTGAGCAGCACAAAAGGTCAAAGAAAAAATATGAAGATATATTTACTCATCTATTTTTAAGTCTATTTGCCATCAGATGTATTATTATACTATCTACTATAAAGAAAATAGCATTATTGACTTAGAAGAATGATTCTTACATATTTTACTGTGGCATCATTATATGGATTACATTCTCATAATTGCTTTAAAACAGTCAATAAAAATAATCTAATATGAAAGTCAGAAGTGAGAAAACTAGAACAGGAAGAAAATTAAAAAAAAACTTTTATAATAGGTTATTTCATAAAATTACACCCTATTTACACACACAGATGAAAATGCGACAATCTCTTTTTGGAAAATAATATATAAAACATAATAACAAGATAGACTGGTTTTCAAATATTCATTTAGAGACATTTAAAACTATGACACTATGGGGAAAAAAGTAGTATACAAACCACACTGCGAGCAGAATCTAGTACTGTGAATGTCTCCTACACTATAGAGCTAAACTGTTCACAAACGTTTCGGAAACATGCTGGGAAAAACTACGAGATGTCTGGAAAGGAGAAGAAATGAAATGAGACAGAGTTCAAGACAGGTGCCATCCTCTGTGAACGAGCAAAGTCCATTAGAGCTGGAGAACGGCCAGCAAAGAGCAGGTCATGGATGTCAACACATTACAGTTTACTGCAAAGCGTACAGGCAGGACAAGGCTGAAAGGGTTATGAATATTATCCATACCACTAGGGGCTGGAAAATCAAAAGGGTCAACTAAGCCTGCCCCTCATTTCAATCACAAAACAAGGTCTACATTCCTTATTTATAAGTTGAATTCACAGGGCGCCTTAAGTCAGTGAAGCAAAACACAAAGGCACTTTTATGAGCTACAACACCCAAAGCTATTGAGGGAAAAGAAAAGACGGCAATTCACTCATCTTTCAGGGTGTAAGAGGCAAGCTCTTTTGGAGGGACCGTTTCCCAAGGCCACAAAATCACAACTTAGGAGGTTCATTAAAGCCACATTTCCTGCTGATTCAATTATAAGGCAATTTGATAATATTTTACTGGGAGCTGAAATATTTATCAATATTTCTATTGCTTCCCCCAGCCAAGGATTATAAAGCCTTCAGTGTTGGCCAGCCCTGATCTTGAGTTGAGAAAAGACAGCTGCATTTGCTCATTATATTTGTGACATACTTTTAGCACATTTTAGGAGCACTGTCAGTATGTGCTGTGTCCTTTGTCGTCAATTCCTACAGAGCGTAGCCTTTGTTCTCTGAGTATTTTGATGAGTTGCTTCAAACAGAGATTTCTCTTTTCTCACCAAGGAATTAAGCAAGTCTTTACCCATTCTTTCTGCCCCTTAATGGGAAGATATTCAGTATCAGTATTTAAATTTTTTTTGAAGAAGATTTGAGGTTAGCTAACGTCTGTCACCGGTCCTCCTCTTTTTTTTGCTGAGGAAGATTGGCTGTGAGCTAACATCCGTGCCCATCTTCCTCTACTTTATATGTGGGACACCTGCCACAGCATGGCTTGATAAGCCGTGTGTAGGGCCATACCTGGGATCTGAACCGAATCCTGGGCTGCCAAAGTGGAACATGAGAACATTACTGATGCACCACCAGGTCGGCCCCCAGAATTTAAACTTTTAAAAGTAATATGCAATTTACAAAAGAAACCTAAAAAAGGTACAGTAGGCCCTCTGTATCCACCGGTTTCACATCTGGGATTCAACCCACTGTGGGTCGAAAGGCCTATGATGGTTGTGTCTGTACTGAACATGTACAGTTTTTTTCCTGTCATTTATTCCCTAAACAATACAGTATAGCAGCTATTTACATAGTATTTAAGTTAAATTAGGTATTATAAGTAATCTAGGGATCATTTAAAGTATATGGGAGAATGGGTGTAGGTTGTACGCTAATACTGTGCCATTTTATGTAAGAGACTCCAGCATCCGGGGATTTTGGTATGTACGAGGAGTCCTAGAACCAGCCCCCTGGGGATACTGAGAGACAACTATAAGGGCATTACACATGAGAGCGTAATTTTTAATTTTGCAAAATTTAATGGAGTTGGGGAGTTTCTTAATTTTGATTGTGCACACTTGAGTTTACCAGAGATAAAACGAAGGAAGACTGAATATTATCTGACTGCATAAAAACCTCAAGATGATGACGGGAAGGGGGCAGACTTCCTGGGCCTGGGAGGCGGGATGTAGGCGGATCCCATGCAGAGGGAGTAGGTGAGAGGCAGCACATGCAGGGGACACCGCACTGGCTTTCTCATCAGAATTCTCTTTAGAGCAAATCAAAGAAATTTTGCCTTTACAAAATATTAAACCGGCAAATACTGTTGAGACAAAGGAAACAGTCCATTAAAGATTATAGACTGACAACAAAGATTGTAATCCAACAGAATTAAATGGAATCCAAATCTGAAAGGTCAGTTAAAAGCTTGAAATTTCTTCCTTCCTCCTATTTTTTCATTCCTTCCATTCTCAGAATTATACTCCCCCTCCTGTTCTTTAACGGTTCTTCTTTTTCCCTAATATTGCTTAGTCAGAATATCATTTTTCCTCTAATACCTTGCTGGTCAAATAGATAATGATTTATAATGAAGCCAAACACATAGTTTTTCCTTCCCCAAGGTCTGCATTAAAATAAAAACTCTCAAAGATCTAAGAATACTGGTTTCCCCCTAGTATTTGCTGGTCAAATGGATAGTGGTTTATAATGAAGCCGAACCTAATTCTCTCTTCTCCAAGGTCTATTTTAAAATAAGAACTCTAAAAGACCCACTCTCAAGCAGTAAATAAAATAAATGTAGTCAGCTTTGAATAAAAGAAACCCAATGAGGAAATTTGAGGATTTAATTTGCTTTATCTAATAAATATTTCTATTTTCATGTGTTCCTTTCTTGCTTGGAATTTTGTTTGCTTGAATAATACCTGGGATATGTAATTTTATTACCTAGGAAAAGCTAAGAACTGTTAAATAATTTTAGTATTAATTTACTTGATAAAAATAAATACAACTTGTCTCTAGGAAGAATAAGGATATTAGCTATTAAAAAATAGCTCCGTTTTGGACAAAGGCAATATAATGGCATATTGACATAAAAATATGAATACAATTTTGAATGCTTATTTTTATTAAAAGCGTGTTATTATTAAGCTTTAACAATAGTAAAGCAATAGTTTAGAAAAAAACACACTCCCAATCTCAGACTCTGAAACAACTACCATCATTCTCTAATCTTTTTTCCCCAGGTACGCATATGTTTTCACATCGTGAAAACATAATATATGCACAGTCATGTATTCTGGCTAATTCTTTTCGGTTTATATTAAAAACATTTCTCAAGCCTGCTAAAGGGTCTTCCTAATGTTTATTTTAATTATTGTTCTTCATTTTCTCAAATAGATATACTACATTCTAATAAATCATTACCTTGTGGCCTTTTGACTCACTGGCTATTTTTCATTGTCAACTAATGTGATTTTAAAGTTCAAGAAAAAATTTTGAAAATGTAATATTTGCATAGTTTTTTGTCCCCAAACACTAAATTTCCATTTTAGATAAACAGTGATTTCAAGAATTGGTAATTATCTGTTTTCTGTTAAATTTCCTTCAAGAATAGAATTGCTCATTTTCCCTACTTATGAATCAAAACTACATAGTCACTACATGGTTAATCTAACAGAAATACGTGGTCTGGACTGGGGGCTGAACCCAAGGGCCGCCCAGAGCCAAAACCTGGCAACGAGCTCAGGGCCATGTTCTCACTGGGCCCTTAGCACATAAACAAAGATCAATGACCGAAGGACCAGAGAAGATCTCTCCCTGGGTCTTGATTCAACCTTGAATCCTCCTCTTCAGCATGCTCCACTTCTGACAGACGTATAGTCTATAAAACCAAATTAAATGCCTATCATTTTTAAGAAAGAATATATTTGAAATCCAGATGAATGATTCTTATATCCTGCTAGCATATCTGTTTTCTATACTGTTTGAACTACTCAAAATTCATAAAATCTGTCTCTAATTTCCACCCTGA